GGAAGCCAGGGCTTTTCTGAAAACCAAGCAAGTAGAAATAGGAGAAATTGTAGAAGTCTTATTGAGTTTTAGACCTTCTTAGCTACAACACAGCTGTATATTCCAAACTGTTATCCCACCTCTAGGATAAACCAGTTACCTAGACAGGGCAATCCACCACATCAGACTTGCAAAGAGAAAATGAAATGACGAAAAATGTAATTTTTTTTTTAGTATTTAGGTGGGAAAGAGACTACTTAATCATTCAAGGCAACCACTTTAATGCTGACAGGAGCGCTGCTTTAGTCTTTATTTGACCCAAAATTCAAATGAAAATCTAAATGAAAGCTGAGTTCTACAAGAAGCCCCAAGCAGCTGCAAGGACCCCCAAAAGGCTCTGAACCCTGCCCTACAGGCTGGACTGACCTGTATCACCATCGCTTCTATTGTAACCATGGGAACATATTCACGTATCATCATTTCCACCGGACTCCCGTAGAATAACCGAGGGGCTCAGGGGTGGTTTGCTGGACCTACCTGGATAGTTTTGGTGATTTTCACGGCTGGATTTACTGTCCCCATGGTTGGGCTGATGGCAGCCGGAACGCTCCTTTTTAAGCTGATCTTCTCTCTGGCATCCACCACTTTGGTCACCTTTTCAGCAGCAATGCTTTGCTGCTTCCGAGAATTCAACATCTCTCGAGCATCCTGAACCTTCCCTTTGATTTTGAACCGAGCGTCCTTTTGAACCAGTTTTTCACGGGCATCTTTAACCCCCAGTTTGTGTCGGGCATCAGTGAGTCCTATCTTCTGTCGGGCATCAAATGTCCGCTGGAAGCTGACAGCTGGTGATGATCTATTTAGAAGATTTTGCTGGATCCCAATGCGAGATCTTACACCTCCAAACACTGGCCTTGTGTTAAGCCTGGGGGGGGGGGGGGGGGGGGGGGGAAAAAAAAAAAGAAAAAAGTGTGTTTCAAACATTATAAGATGTGATACAGTATCAATAAAAGTATTTGTGTGGCTGCAAACAAAAGTTCATTATTGCTGCACAGAAATCCATTCAGGTTAGATGTCCAAATACAACAGCAGAGCTCCTAAGCTGTTTTAGGCTGGATTTTACTTTCTACACAAACAGCTAAGGCACTGATTTCCTACATCCATCCTTAAGGTCCACATTTACAAACTTAACTAAACGGTCTGACTTCAGCTGTGCTAAGCATATACTATGTTTAAACAAAATTCATCAAAACTTAGGTATTTTGGGGAAATCCTTGAAGACAAAGAGGAACAGAAACAGACTTTGTAGCTTTAGCACTGAGCAGGTCTGCTAAAGCATCTTTTGTAACACAATAATATGTCCCAATACAAAAGAAACACGGAACTACATGCTATTTCAAGAATTCTGGGCAGCAAGTTCAGATCTGTGGGAGTGCAGAGGCTTGGATTTTAGGATGTACAAGCACCAGTACCAATCTCAGGTCAAAGCCACCAGTTTCAAAGTTGATTACTACCAGCAAGAATACTGATCAGTCAAATTACTTCTTAAAATCACTGCCTTCTCTTTGACCTACTAACAGAACTGCTGCACTCGATGGCCTTTACTTTCAAGCATATCACCACCACAATACTGAGCACAGAAAGAAAGCAGCCCACTGAAAGGACACCATTTGTACTTGTACATGTACAAGTGTTACTAAGCAGCCACCCATTATGAAGGGAAAGCTGAAACTAACTTCTCGTTACATGTCTGATTTGCTTTTTCAAAATCCCCCCTAAAAAGAAACAGCTTGTCTAATTTTTTTAATAGAAGTGCTCCTTTAAGTATTTTTAAAGGTTTTCCTTTTTCCATTGGGTTTCTTTTTTTTTTTTTTTAAATAAATGATGACAAAGTGGTAAGAGAAATTTTAAAGTTAAGGTATTGAAAAAATATTCTTGCTGTTGGCTTTTTAAAATTCAAAATAAGCTACAACGGGCTACAGTGTTCACCTGCTTTCTGAAATGTATTGTCCAGTATTATAAAGTCCAAGAGCAGATATCTAAAATTTGTTGTAATACTCAAAGGCTAACATCACAACTTCAAATGATGATGCAATCTGAATTCTTCATAGAGCTTTATATCAGTGTTTCCTGATCTAACCCTACAATCTTAACATTATTTACAGTCACATATTTTCAGTGGTCAGATCTGTAAAAAAAGAGAGATGAAAGACTCAACCTCCACTTCTGCCTCTTTCATTCTTGTGTCCAGACAACTGGAGAGCTAGGACTGGGGTCCCATTTTGTTATGTAGCTAAGAATCCTATGGCTGCTCTCTGACACAGCCAAAGCACACTAGCTAAAAGAAACAGGAGTATTATTCAGACCATTTACTAAAATATATCCAGAATAATACAGCAGACTAACAGTAGCAATAAAGCAACAGCCACAGAACAAGACTTCCCTTGCAATTTTAAAAAGCATTAATTGAGCTACGTTGAAAGCATTGTTACAGTGCTGCAGAAGGGCTTGATAAGTGGTTCTTTTTAATGAGCGTAAGAGAGGTCAAAGTAAAACCAGAAACATATGTATCAGCATTTAAACCAGAATTAGTTAAAACTGTTAATGACATGAACTAATGAAATCAGTTAGGAAACTCTGAAGATCACAGTGTCTCTGAAGACTTGTGTTTATCCTAATACGCAACTCTCTTCCGTAGAGACTTGCTCATCCTGTAACAGCATTAATTTTTCAGGCATTTTGAGTCACAGCACCTGAAATAAAAGGGAATCTCAAACATCTAATTCACTTTCCAGAACTCCAAGTTCCGCCTTGACTATTTTGCGCATTAGGACATTTTGCAGGTGAAGATTTTTCTGTTATTTCACCCAGACTACTGAACAGCATGGACATAATGATTTAAGTCTACTCATTTTATCCAGCCTTCACAAAGTCAGGTTAGCTACCCCAGAGATCTTATAAAGTGAGCTAAACATGCCAAATAAGAGAAATGCAAGGCAAAAAATTTTTTTACAGTGCTGCTGAGGGATTATTGTTCAGCAAATAAAAGCAGGAAGAATTCCTGGAAGAAATGAGAGTTAAGGAGGGATTTGAAAAAGGAGAAAGGAGGTACTTGGCATATTAAGCAGCATAAGGCTGTTCCAAATACGCAGGATAACATGAATGAAAGCGCAAAGCCAAGGCCTTGTCTAGACTAGGATTTAAATACGTGTTTGAATGTTTTGCTAGTATACGTTATCAGATAGCTTTCAAAATACTACTCTAGACATGTAAGTGTAGCCATTCAGAGTTAAAACATAAGAGTCCCCAACGACCATTAAATTTAAAACAAAACAAAAAACCCAACAAAACCAAAACGACAGAAAAAAGGAGCACACTTAGATAACACACGTGGGGAGAAATCCATGGACAAGATCTTCAGAAGCATCAAGAGTATGGCAAAAGGGAAGATGAAAAGCCACCAAAGGAGAAGTCAGGTAAGAACTGCCAACAGCTGCACTAAACGGCCCAGCCCACACTGGAGACATATACGGTACAAAGAACCGTAATCCTGTAGCTAATATGTAACACACCCCACATCCACACAAGCACTTCAAACAATATGTCCGAGTATCATTAACTATGCTACAGAGACTGCAGTTTCCAAGGGCCAGGCTGCAACCTCGACGAAGCCATCGCAGCCTCAAGCCTCGCCTGTGCGGATCCGGACCAGCTTTGCCACAGTTACGGCTCCCCGTGGCACAACTACACCTCCCACGGCTATCCCACAATGCACCGTGCCGCTCAGCAACGCACCGCTGAGAGCTGCGGGGGACCGGGCACCCCCCAGGGCACTGCCTGAGGAAGAGCTGCAGCCCAGCAGCAGCTCCTGCTGCAGATACAGGGCAGTCCGGATACCCAAGGGGCTCAGGGATGGGGGCTCGCGGAGGGCGGGGGGGCGCCGAGGCCCTTCTGATC